AGAAGAGACCGAGAATAGCCAAAACATTCCTGGGCAACAAAAACAAAGTAGAATGTTCCACAGTCCTGGATTTCAAGATAATATAAAGCTACAATAATGTAATCAGCATGATAGTGGCACAGAAAACACATGAGGATCAGTGAAACAGAACAGATGATGCAGAAGAAACCCCAGGCACACTCAGTCACTTGATCTTTGACACAGAGGCTAAAACGTATGCTGGAATAAACATAGCCTTTTTAACAATGGTGCTGGGAAAACTGACTCTCCACATGCAGAAGATTGAATTTAGACCCAAAATAAAATTAAAATGGATCAAAGACCTGTATATTGAAACACGAACACTTAATATGCTTAAAGATAATATAGGTAAAACTTTTGAAAACAAAAGCATAGGTAGAACTTTCTAAAGAGAAAGTTTAGAAAGAAAAAAAATCAAGAATCCACAAATGGGAGTGTATCAAATTAAAAAGCTTCAGCACAGCAAAGGAAAGAATAAAGTGAAGAGACAACCTATGAAATGGGAACAAGTTTTGCCTGCTAATTCTTGATCTGAGAACTAGTATCTAGAATATATGAAGAAATAAATTAATTTCAATAAAAATGGGCAATTGAAATGAATAGACATTCCTCAGAAGGAGTACACATGGACAATAAATACATGAAAATTTGTTCATATTTGGCCATGGGAGAAAGCCAGATGAAAACAACACTGCAATACCATCTCACAACAGAAAGAATGGCTTTTGTCAAGAAGTCAAATAATAGGGCTGGAGATTTAGCTCAGCAAATGGAAGGTCCTGAGTTCGATCCCTGGTTCCAAAAAAAAAAGAAAAAAAAGAAAAGAAAGTCAAATAATAACCAATGGTGGTGATGCTGCAGGAGAAAAGAAACCTCTCTCTTTGTTGGTGGGAATGTAAACTAGTACAGCAGTATGGAAATCAGTATGGAGATTCTCCAAAGAGCCAAAAATAGAAATTCTGTCTGACCCAGATATTCCTCTTTTAGGTATCTTTCCAAAAGAATTTAAAGACATCATATTAGAGTGACATACCCATGTTTATAGCAGAACAACTCATAAAATCTAAGTCTTAGAAATGATCTATATGTTCATTAACACATGGATGGATAAAGAAAATGTGGAATAGATACACAATGGAGTACTATTCTGCCATAAATAATGATATATTTGAGTCATTTGTAGTAATGGGAATGGATGTAGTATCAGACTATTTTAAGTGAAATCAATCAGATACATAAGCATCCATATCATATGGTTTCTCTTATATGAGAAACCCATAGTATGAATAGTTTAAAGAGCAAAATAAAGATAGATAATATGAGATAGCGCGATAGATTCTTTCCATATGGGAATGCATCTAGGGATTAGGTAGGGGGAACGAAGTGCAGGGGCAGGTGAGGTTAAAAGAATGAAAATGTGTTATGTACGTGTACCTACTCCTCATGCTGAATGTGAATATGCACAGCAAATGTACTAATAAATATTTTAAAAAGCACATCACAATCACAGCATTATTTGTTTGCATTTTGTGTGAGATAATTTATTAGGTTAAAATAGATATTTTAAAGCCACAACTGTTGAGTGGGCTCATGGGAATAGTGGTCTCCTTTCACAGGTGGCATTTTGTCATGTTTTGAATGCCTTTTGAAATGGGAACAAGCCCAGTGGGGGTACTTTAGATCAGTTTACTTCAGCATCATTCATTATTATCTGAAGTTCCTGAAGTATATAGCAACCTCACTGAATGTAGTAGTGCAGTACACTAGGAAATTCATTTTCCTTTCCCAAATTTGGACTTCTGAGATGTTTTACCCAATAAAAATGTCTGAATGTAGAGCACAGGAGAAACAAAATCCCATGCAGCAGTTCCAGGTACTCCCAGCAGGTGACATCTGCTGCCTAAGGATGAATCTAAGGGGCTCAGTCATGAGACTCATTGATCTGTAAACCACCTCTGGTAGAATGGTTGTCTTAAAGTTACCCAATATTTCAGTCCACAAAAATAATATGACCTTCTGTGTATAGGTTTTAATATTTTATGTTATCAATAATGATAGAGGAATATGCAGTTCTTAAAAACTATAGAAGTTTTGCAAATTTGTGTTAGATTTATTCCTAGGTACTTGATGTATTAAAACAAATTAAGATGTCATAATGTTTATTATACTTTTTTCTTGTTGTTCAAATATAGGAACACAAATGAGTTTGTTATACTGACTTTGTATCCAGAATTCATGGTACATTTTCATACAAAGTCTAAAGCTTTGTTTGTAGATTCCTTTGGTTTTTCTATGTATACAATTAGAGAAAAAAATTATATTTTCTTTTCTAAACTTTTCTGATCCGTGAATCTCAGAAAAAATGTTTTCAGCACAGCTAAATACTGTATTTGCTTTTATTTTAATAGATAACCATTAGAAAGTTTATAAAGTTTTCTTTCATTGCTAAGGTGAAGAGTTATAATATTGCTTATTATTAATTCCTCTTTCATCATCAGTTGAGATCCTCACGTGATTGTTTCTCTTTTAATATGGAATCACAGTGTTGAATTACATTAATTTATTTTGTTAAGTGTTAATCATCTTGTGTTCTTGAAATAAATTATACTTAACCGTGAAGAAAATTCCCCAGTAATAGGCCTCAATTTTTAAATATCTCCTTCTGGGGGTGTCAAAATTAGTCAGGGAAGACAAGTTACATTGTATTTATTTTTAGATAATGGCTATTTTTAGGATAGCTTACTGAATTTAAAATGAAATTCTTATAGGTAATGAAAAAAAGAGGAAAGTCCACAAACAATTATAGTATAGAGTTTATTACATACTATTTTATAGTAAAATTTGAAAAGTGTTAAAAAGAGACTCAAGAATCCTCCCTGGGAGTTTTTAAATATGAAACATCTGTAATACCCTTGGGACCCTGATATCAAGTTATTTTTAAAGACTTCTGTAATACATAGAACAGCAGAACAGTGTATAATAACTTTCTGGGCTTTTATGCTTCCAAGTTTCAAAAGTTAAAAGAAAACATGGAAATTCATCTACATTTTTAAAAAAGTAAGCAAACAAACACACACACAAATAAAAACTTCTTAAAAATTATAATCTTGTCAAATACCCAGAGTTCTTTCAAGGTATTCAACAGAATGAAATCATCAAAAAATACTTTGATCCAATTTTGAAATATAAAATCCTAGAGATGGAGAATTCATCAGTAAAAAGAAGAAAGAGCATTCCTTTTTCCATGGAACTTTGTTGGGAAATAAGGGAGTACATAAGGTAGTATGTCCGGTGGTTGTAAGTGCTACAAAGAAAAACAAGGTAGAGAATTGGCCAAAGATTTGGACATGCTGGAATGATGAGTGTAGTTGAAATTTATAGTGTGGAGAGTAACTGTTTCTGCTCTTAGAGAAAGTGGTATTTAAGCAAGAATTAAAGAACATATGGGTAAGAACCATGCACGTAAGTGGAAGAGGGCATTCCAGGTAAAGGAAACAAGGTACAAAGGCTACAAAGCATGTGGAGCTTCTCAAAATCTACCAAGAAGGCCACTGTAGCTGGACATAAGTGAGAGAAGGGCGAGTTCAGGAGGGGAGGGGAGAAGGTTCTCAGAGCCTATGATAGGCACCTCATTACTCTGCCTGAGAAAGAAAGCCTTAAATAAGTAAATAAAGCTAATATTCATATAAAAATGTGAAAAATTGCAAAGATATAATCCATGGGTAAAGGAAATGACAGTAAGTATATTTTAAATATTGAATCAAATTAATAACCAAAATGAAAAGAATTAAAACAAATCCTCCCCCTTTGGCTTATCTCAATATGTATTCCCAGAAACACTCCCGGAGAGCATTGTACTGGGTACTCAGACTGCCCAATACACACATTTTTTTCCCTTCCTGTCACATAGTTTGGAAATATTAATCAAGAATTCTGGAAGAGTTCAAACCCTGTGACACAGTCATTATCCTGAAAAATATCAAAAAGAGATCCATTCCAAATTTTGTTTACAGTGATATTCACAGTATTTTTTGTACTGTAAAACACAGAAATAATGAAGGTATCAAAAAAATAAAATGGTTATTTCATTTGAGGCATACCCAATATTTAAAATATAAGGCAGCCATTAAAATTACGTTTTGGAGAATTTTTAAAGATAGGGAACCTAATGATATACTCTTTACTAAATGAAATGCATAACTACATATGTTGTGACTCTAACTACATAATTATTAAAGAAAGATAACAAAATAGTTCCCTATATACAAAAGACAATGGATAGTTATGTATACAATTTGGAACATAAAGAGAGTAAGAATGATACAATAAACACAATACAAAAATGTAAGTAAAGTCATTGTTCGGGCTCAGAAATTGATACCCTATACTGGTATTTTGATGTGCTGAGAGACCTTCAAAGCTTTTTCAGAATCAACATCCTTCTGACTTTGTCTCCTTCCCCTCAGTATCACCTCAAATGCAGGCACAGGTTCTCTTCAGAACTCTCTCACCACCTAAGGAAAGAAGTGCAATTGTTTTAAACCCTCTCCCTAGGAATCTCATCAAATACCATAGCCAGAAAAAATAAACCAGTGGGGAAAGAGGAAACTAAAGTTCCCATGCTCAAGACCACCCTACCCAGACAGAATTTTCATCTGTTCTTCTGAGGACAGCTCTGGAATATTACCTATGACCATGTCTATCATAATAAGAGCTTTGTTCCACTTGAACATTCCATCTCTCACCCCTCCCATAAATTATCATCATCACCTCCCAGGATACCTCAACCCCCTCCTCTTCAATTTAAGCCTCTATTTCTCTCTATGCCTTGGGAATTTATTTAATCTTTGACCTTCCAGCCCTCTGGGGAGACTCATATTTTTTGTATGAATCCTGTGCTGTGATTTTTCCCTGTGCATGTTAATAAATTTGTATTAATTTTTCCTCCTATTTGTCTTCTTATGGTCACGTCATTTCAGCAAAACTTTTGAGGGTGAAAGGAAGTTTTTCTGTCTGCCCTGATCCATTTTAGACCATCAAATTCTGCTGGAGCCAGCCTAGACCTGAAAAGCCTCCCAGTCAACCAATGTGAGATTGAGAAATAAATCTTTGTTGTGTTAAACCACTAAATCTTAGTGTCGTTTGTTACACCACAAAAGTGTGTCTGATACATTTTATTACCTTAGCCTATGGAACAGTTGATCCTGTCTCCATTATTTTCAATATCAGGGTAAAGAAGGATTTGACTCTCAGTGAGGGGAATGATATTAAGGAGCCAGCAGACAAAGGGAACAATTTTTTTTTAACCTCCTTTACCACCTAACACACATTACTTCTTAAAGCAGACTTTATCCTGGAAGAAGCTACTTACTAACTTTGAGAGGTAATATAATCCCATACAGACCCTGTGAGAATATACTGAGGAAAGCCTATCAAAGCTTAAGTGTTTGTAGTTCTTCCTGCTTCCACGTCTTTATCAACTGTTCAAGTAGGACTCTAGTACTCCTTTAATTTATGCCATGGGCAGTAAGACTGGACCTTAGTTAACTAAATTCATAAAGTTACACTTCAGGGTGGAGGAAAGCAACTGATTGTCAAGGAGTTTTTTTTTCTAGATACCTAAAATGAATATACAGTGACTTCTGAGTGCTGGAAAAACAAGTTGTCATTTCTTGGCCACATTTCAACTTTTTCTTCAAGCTATCTCCCTCCTTTATTTTCCAGCCCACATGTATTTATAGGGAAATCTAGTTCTGGGTTTTGGACTCAGGTGGACTTTATTCATTTGTTTTTTAAGAATTATTTCCAGTGGACCTGTAAAATATGATTCTGTTTTCTGGAAGAATGTGTTCTAACTCCTGTCTTCACCAAAGAACACACTCCGCAGAGAAGGTATTCCAAGAGAAGATGACTGGAATACAATGTCTCTGGCAAATAGGACCCACCTGCATAGTTTTCTTTAGTTTTCCCTATTCTACATAGAATGGAATGAAAGAAAACAGGATATCTTGATGATCCTAAGCAAATAGAAATTAATTTGGCAAGGGATGGCCAGAGCCATCCTAGGAATGGTGATGTTGCCTGCTGCTCCTCAGGTCTTTATGCTCATATCTCTTTGCTAGACTCTAACCAAACAAAGCACTGGAGGCCACTTATGTATTTTTGATGAGAATGGAAAAGATCTTATTCAAAGCCAGCTGTAAAGAGATGAAGGGACCCATAATACTGCAAGTCATTATTGCATCATGTCCAATTGTGTGAGAACCTTTTATAGTCAAGAACAGAATGGAGAGGGAGTACAATGAGACGAGAGAATGCCAAGCTTGGTTTATTTCTCCTGGAGATTTTTTCCTTTATCTGTTCCCTGTGGAAAAGAAATTAGAACCTGGGGTCAGCATCTACATATTCTGTCCATTAATCTGTGTTGAGAGAAGGAGGTGGCATTCAGCCCTGGGCCTGTGGGAGTTTGGAAACACAGGTTGTCTCTAAAGGAAAAAAATCCCAATTTTTAAAGTTCTATTTTGTCCTGCCTGTTTCAGTGACAGGTTCCATTTTGCCTGTGACAAGCGCTAATCACTTCATCTAACTAAGTGTGCTGTCAGTAACTACAATAACTCACTTGTAACAAGCCTTGTAACTGAAGACTGAAGCATACTCTCATGATCAGGATTAAGTAATTTATTTAATACTTACAGTGAGTAAATTCATCTGTTGAACACACGTAGAGAAGAGCATTCAATTGTCTCAGAGGAATGTTGCAATATTTCTTTTCCTAATCTAGTACATCTACCTGTGCCCTGTATGCTATCTCAGTGTCCTCCTTAGAAAGGTTGATTCAACTATTCTCCTTTTGTACTCTTTCTCAAGTATTGCCTTCCAATAAGCATATAAGCCAGCATAGATCATCATTTACAGCTCACTCTTTTAAAAATCAGTAGTAATATTTTCATTTTAATGTGTACTTATGATAATTTTAAAAATTCCTTAAGATAAAATGCATAGAACATTTATTTAATTTATCCTATTAAAGTGCCTCTTCTACTGAAATATCTTTCAATATCTATAGTGCAGTATGGTAATTTAACACATGGACACAGTGTGTAATGATCAAATTAGAATAGTAAGCATTTTCATTTTTTCAAACATTGATATTTTTATTAGTATCTTCTGTACATAATGATTATACTCATCATGGGAGGTAAGTACATTTACATAACACTTCTTTTTATTCCTCTTCCCATCCCCTCCTTCCACCTATAAATCCACCCCCATCTACAAAAAACAAAACAAAACTATCTCTCTGTTTCTTATTGTCTGTTATTTTGCTCTTTATTTATATTTGGGTTAGTCATATAGGAGAAGTTATGGGATATTTAAGCATGTGTGTCTTGTCACAGTATATGACCTTGGGTGGTGTGGAGGATGAAAAGATTACCCACAAGACATAGTTTAATTTATTGAGAGGCCCAGGGGGGCTGTTTCTCCATCAAGAGCATCCAGCCATTAGGGAGGCTCTGGAAGAAGCCAAAAGCCACCAAAACGAGAACTTTCTGGCTTTTATTTGGAATATCAGTGTAAGAAAAAAATCAGGAGAAAAAGCACTTGGACCAAAAGCTGTCTCAAGGTTAAGCAGTTTTTTGGGGGTGGGGAAAGAGAAGGACATGGTCAGACTTTCTGTTGTCTAACCATTTGGTTCTAACACAGCCTGTGTGCTTTTGGCCCATAGTTTAGTCACTTATTCTTCACAAAGCCTGCATACCTCTTGCCTCAAAGTTTAAATATTTGTGTGGTTTTGCTCCATATTTTCACCATTTACTCCTCATAGAGCCCTATGCACTTTTGTCTCGGAGTTTAATCATTCAGTTTAATCATTTAATCCTGGCCAGGTTGCCCACAGTGTCTGATTTATTTTACTTAACATTATGATCTTATGGTGTATCCACTTACATACAAATGACTCAAATTTATCCTTTGGGGCAGCATAATACACCATTGTGTATACTACATTTTCTTTATCCATTCATCTGTTGGTATATACACAGGCCACTTCCAAGATTTAGCTATTATGAGTTGTGCTGCTAAAAACACGAGTATGCATGTATTACCATTG